AAAATCAAAAATATCAGTTGTAACGATAAACTACCAAAAATTTCACTATCAGAAAGTACCAGTTGCAGAACGAAAATGTTCCTAAAAAATCCCCTTTTATAAATGTTCATTCAACCAGCATTCTTAGTATTTAATTTTGCTTTTTTTGGTTCATTATTATAAAAGAAATCAAAAAGTACCAGTTTCAGAACTAAAAATGAACCTAAAAGTCCCCTTAGTTTTTATTTTTGAGTTATTAGTTCAATATTATAAAAAATTCAAAATGTACCAGCTGAAGAAAAAAAGTACCAAAGCGTTCTCTCTTATAGATTTTCATCCCCTCAGAATCCTATACTACTTATTATGTTTCTGCAGAAAAATCCAAAAATGCCTAAAAGACGACGAAACGAAAAAGTACCCAAAAGGCCCTCATTTACTCAGAAAACTCAAAAAGTACCAGTAATAACGAAAAAGTACCTAAAATTACGCTTTTATAAATGTTCCTTCAACCAGTAAGCTTAATGTTTAATTTCGCGTTTCTATGTTCAATATTATAAAAAAATTTAAAATGTACCAGTTGGACAAGAAAAAAGTACCAAAGAGTTCACACTTTTTATTCCCTCCGAATCATATACACCAGATTACGTTTCTGCAGAAAAATGAAAAAGTACCCGTAAAATAACAAAAAAAAGTACCAAAAAGTCCCTTTTTATAGATTCTCATTTACTCAAGGTTTAGAAATTGCCAAAAAAGTCCCCTTTTATAGATTCTCTCTACATGCTTAATTTCTTGTTTCTAGATTTAATTTTAAAGAAAACTCAAAAAAGTACCACTAGAAAAACGGAAAAGTACCAGAAAATATTCCTTGGTACCGGAGTTACAAATAACACCCCTTTTAGAAGAAAAATTTTATTCCAACAAGTTGCAATATCGTAGTGAGAGTCCCTCATTTAGCCAATAAAGGGAATATTTCATGAAAAAAGTACTAGAAATGGGTACAATTTTCACCACTTAAACGTCCAATTATCCAAAAAGTACTAAATTTGTTTTACTTATTTTCCAAAAAGTTACAGATGAGTTTAATTTAAAAGATATAAGGGGTTTCAAAAATGTACCATAATATACTTCCTAAACGAAACGATTTTCAAAAAAGTACCAGACTTCTGTTTGATTATCGAATTTACCCGTTTTTCTGCCAAAAAAAAAAATGGTGTATAGATTTATGCTTACATTAAATTTATTTATAATGAATTTCATCGCCATATTAGTGTTTAAGTAAATTGTGAACATTCAGGTAATTTTCCTATTCAGTTCATTTAGTACAAAGGTATACATTAAGGTACTTATACCAGTCGTCATTATATTCTTGTGTGTTACAAACATCAGCATAAACCTAATATAACTTCCTCACTAAAGTAGCGTAGGGTAAATGTATAGTATACGTATGTGTATACATATAACACACAGGCAATAAGCAAACGTTTGCCCATGTAAAAAACTGTAGAAAAACAAAACCAAAAACAAATACACATGTACATTTTAAGAGAGAGAAAGACACAAACAAAACATAAACTTTTGCGCTCATCTCTTAAATTTATTTTACATTTGAGAGCAAAACCAATTCCGAAACGTATTTTTTTGTGCAATTCATTTAGTGTGTGTTGGTTTTTCATAGTGTACGAACGTGTAAATAAAATGCCTCGACCCAAGAACAGTGTGCTACGTTCCTATTTTGAAATAACAAGGGATAATCAAGCCATTTGCAGAAATGATAATTGTGATAATAGACTATTAAATACACATGCGGGAAATCTGGAACGACATTTGAAAAAAATTCATCCGGTTATTTTTGAAAGTTACGTTAAAAGAAAAGGTCGTCGTGGTGGTGCTTTAATCACTAATTTTAAAAGTGAAGTTTTATCTACTAGTCCCAGTCCTAGTGATGTTTTAACTACTACTACTACTAGTTTTGAACGTGAGGCGACACCTAAATTGTCTTCTGCAGTAAATAAGGAACACATACAAATGGCTCTAGTAGAATTATTTACGAAATGCGGCAGACCTCTTAGTATGGCGGAAGATCCACCATTCAAAATGCTTGTAACTCCAATATTAGAAGCACTTGATATGAAATTAAATGAACGTAGTGTAATGAAAAATATTACTCAATATTCTATAAACTTAAAGAATGAAATTATGGAAGAACTTCGGGGAAGATTAATTTCGTTGAAAATTGATGCAGCCACTATGAATTCTATAAGTGTTCTAGGTGTAAATGTACAATATATTAAAGACAATAGTGTGGTAATTAAAACAATTGCCATAAAACAACTAACTCAACAGCTGACAAGCGAGTATTTGAAAAATATAATACTGGAAGTTCTTAATTCCTATGAGATAAATTTAAATCAAGTGGTCACAATAACAACCGACAATGGAGCTGATATGGTTAAGGCCGATAATGATTTAAATGACGATATAAGCAGTAGTAGCTCAGATGAAGTTTGTATGGACTACGATTTGCCAATGGATAATATAACTAATGTTCGTTGTGGAACCCACATTTTGCAATTGTGTGCGGCAGAAGTAATGAAATCTACTGATATTAAACAAAAACTTGACAGTATTAGAGCTTTAATAAGAAAGCTTAGAACACAAAAATATATAAATTCGATAAAATGTGGAGACTATAAAATGCCGTCATTGGATAACGTAGCCAAATGGAGCTCCACATATCTCATGCTGGAGCATTTTGTAGCCTTAAAAGTATTTATTGATGATAATTTAGATATTTCCGATGATATTTGGACTTTCGCTGATGAGTTTATAAAAGTATTTCAAGTTATTTATACAGCAACAAAAAAATTACAAAGTGAAAACTTGATATATAGCGATCTCTATATTGAAATAACGAACATAACCATACAATTGGATAATCTTCCGCATTCGGATTTGAAGCTGTATTTGACAGAAAGTTTAAATAGACAAAAAAACAAATTGCTTGAAAATAATTTATTTGTAACCGCCATCTATCTGGATCCGAGAATAAAAGTTTGTCTAACGTCTAATCAGCGCGAAAGTGCAAAGAGCTGTATAATGCAATTACAAAATCGTTTATTAAATTTAAATGGTAAATTTTATTAAACTAAAATCTTTTCTCTTTTCTCAATATTAAAACTCTCCTAATTCCTTATAGATTATGATGACTGTGTAACAATGGAATCCGTAGAAACTGAAGAAAGCCCAACAAACTCACCCTTAACTGTAAGCAACGCTGTTGATGATGAACTTGAGGAATATTTCAAGTCTTTTGAAAAAGCTTCCAACATGGATATTTCTACCACATCCCATTCAATTGAACAAGATATTTTAATATATGAAAATCAAAATCGTTTGGGTATAAAGGAAAATATTATTGATTATTGGAGCAAACAGAAAAATGCTTTATCCGAAATAGCTTACGTAGTACTGGCAATACCCTGTACTCAAGTAAGTGTTGAAAGGTTATTTTCGGCCCTTAAATACATGTTATCCGATCAGCGTAATAAACCGAGCTCTACAAATTTAGAGCATATTTTGCTAGTAAGGGCGAATGGGCACTTTATTTATGATTAGTTTATATTTTTTAGTTTTAGTTTCCAAATTTTAAATTTGGCTTTAATTTTATGAATTATTTTTAAAACTACCTTTTTTTAAATAAACATCAATAAAAAATTAAAACTTCTCTGATGGTCTTTTTACTTACTCAAAAACTTTTGGCTCAGAACTTTTCGATTTTGCTCCCTTGGTGTTCTTTTCTGGCTGAGTACCACTATTTCCAGATAATATCGTTCAGGTTCGGTTTTACTTATGAACTAGTTTGATAGGAGTATATTTCTATGGACTAGACAATATCTATAAGGAATAGAATCAATAGGAATACTCACCCAGAGGTAAGAGTTTACATCATATGGGTACCACTCGGGAGTAGTCGACAACGAAAAAACGAATGTAATAATTTAAAGGGAAGTTAGCTCGAATTAAAAATATGGATGAGAGAAACCCATAAGGCCACTTGGAATATTGAAATGGTGGTTAGAACCACAAAGATCCTATGGACTGACCCTAACGAGAAAAGGATGAGAAGCCTCCACAAAATAAGCAAGTCTGAGGTTAGTATGGTGGTACTTATTCTCACTGGACACACAGGATTACGGGCTCAGCTATACAAAATTGGTCTTGTGGATTTGGACGAATGTCTGGTGTATTTCTTATAGATTCTCATTTATTCCACTCTCTACATGCTTAATTTCTTGTTTCTAGATTTAATTTTAAAGAAAACTCAAAAAAGTACCACTAGAAAAACGAAAAAGTACCAGAAAATATTCCCTGGTACCGGAGTTACAAATAACACCCCTTTTAGAAGAAAAATTTTATTCCAACAAGTTGCAATATCATAGAGAGAGTCTCTCATTAAGCCAATAAAGGGAATATTTTATGAAAAAAGTACTAGAAATGGGTGCAATTTTCACCACTTAAACGTCCAATTATCCAAAAAGTTACAGATGAGTTTAATTTAAAAGATATAAGGGGTTTCAAAAATGTACCATAATATACTTCCTAAACGGAACTATTTTCAAAAAAGTACCAAAATTGTAAATTGTGGACATTCAGGTAATTTTCGTATTCAGGTAATTTAGTATAAAGATATACATTAAGGTACTTATACCAGTCGTCATTATATTCTTGTGTGTTACAAACATCAGCATAAACCTAATATAACTTCCTCACTAAAGTAGCGTAGGGTACCTGTATAGTATATATATATGTGTATACATATAACACACAGGCAATAAGCAAACGTTTGCTCATGTAGAAAAACTGTAGAAAAACAAAACCAAAAACAAATACACATGTACATTTTAAGAGAGAGAAAGACACAAACAAAACATAAACTTTTGCGCTCATCTCTTAAATTTATTTTACATTTGAGAGCAAAACCAATTCCGAAACGTATTTTTTTGTGCAATTCATTTAGTGTGTGTTGGTTTTTCATAGTGTACGAACGTGTAAATAAAATGCCTCGTCCCAAGAACAGTGTGCTGCGTTCCTATTTTGAAATAACAAGGGATAATCTAGCCATTTGTAGACATGATAAATGTGATAATAAACTATTAAATACACATGCGGGAAATCTGGAACGACATTTGAAAAAAATTCATCCGGTTATTTTTGAAAGTTACGTTAAAAGAAAAGGTCGTCGTGGTGGTGCTTTAATCACTAATTTTAAAAGTGAAGTTTTATCTACTAGTCCCAGTCCTAGTGATGTTTTAACTACTACTACTACTACTAGTTTTGAACGTGAGGCGACACCTAAATTGTCTTCTGCAGTAAATAAGGAACACATACAAATGGCTCTAGTAGAATTATTTACGAAATGCGGCAGACCTCTTAGTATGGTGGAAGATCCACCATTCAAAATGCTTGTAACTCCAATATTAGAAGCACTTGATATGAAATTAAATGAACGTAGTGTAATGAAAAATATTACTCAATATTCTATTAACTTAAAGAATGAAATTATGGAAGAACTTCGGGGAAGATTAATTTCGTTGAAAATTGATGCAGCCACTATGAATTCTATAAGTGTTCTAGGTGTAAATGTACAATATATTAAAGACAATAGTGTGGTAATTAAAACAATTGCCATAAAACAACTCACTCAACAGCTGACAAGCGAGTATTTGAAAAATATAATACTGGAAGTTCTTAATTCCTATGAGATAAATTTAAATCAAGTGGTCACAATAACAACCGACAATGGAGCTGATATGGTTAAGACCGATAATGATTTAAATGACGATATAAGCAGTAGTAGCTCAGATGAAGTTTGTATGGACTACGATTTGTCAATGGATAATATAACTAATGTTCATTGTGGAACCCACATTTTGCAATTGTGTGCGTCAGAAGTAATGAAATCTACTGATATTAAGCAAAAACTTGACAGTATTAGAGCTTTAATAAAAAAGCTTAGAACACAAAAATATATAAATTCGATAAAATGTGGAGACTATAAAATGCCGTCATTGGATAACGTAGCCAAATGGAGCTCCACATATCTCATGCTGGAGCATTTTGTAGCCTTAAAAGTATTTATTGATGATAATTTAGATATTTCCGATGATATTTGGACTTTCGCTGATGAGTTTATAAAAGTATTTCAAGTTATTTATACAGCAACAAAAAAATTACAAAGTGAAAACTTGATATATAGCGATCTCTATATTGAAATAACGAACATAACCATACAATTGGATAATCTTCCGCATTCGAATTTGAAGCTGTATTTAACAGAAAGTTTAAATAGACAAAAAAACAAATTGCTTGAAAATGATTTATTTGTAACCGCCATCTATCTGGATCCGAGAATAAAAGTTTGTCTGACGTCTAATCAGCGCGAAAGTGCTAAGAGCTGTATAAAGCAATTACAAAATCGTTTATTAAATTTAAATGGTAAATTTTATTAAACTAAAATCTTTTTTCTTTTCTCTATATTAAAACTCTCCTAATTCCTTATAGATTATGATGACTGTGTAACAATGGAATCCGTAGAAACTGAAGAAAGCCCAACAAACTCACCCTTAACTGTAAGCAACGCTGTTGATGATGAACTTGAGGAATATTTCAAGTCTTTTGAAAAAGCTTCCAACATGGATATTTCTACCACATCCCATTCAATTGAACAAGATATTTTAATATATGAAAATCAAAATCGTTTGGGTATAAAGGAAAATATTATTGATTATTGGAGCAAACAGAAAAATGCTTTATCCGAAATAGCTTACGTAGTACTGGCAATGCCCTGTACTCAAGTAAGTGTTGAAAGGTTATTTTCGGCCCTTAAATACATGTTATCCGATCAGCGTAATAAACCGAGCTCTACAAATTTAGAGCATATTTTGCTAGTAAGGGCGAATGGGCACTTTATTTATGATTAGTTTATATTTTTTAGTTTTAGTTTCCAAATTTTAAATTTGGCATTAATTTTATGAATTATTTTTAAAACTACCTTTTTTTAAATAAACATCAACAAAAACTTAAAACTTCTCTGATGGTCTTTTTACTTACTCAAAAACTTTTGGCTCAGAACTTTTCGATTTTGCTCCCTTGGTTTTCTTTTCTAGCTGAGTACCACTATTTCCAGACAATATCGTTCAGGTTCGGTTTTACTTATGAACTAGTTTAATAGGAGTACCACAATTTCCATGGACTAGACTATATCTATAAGGAATAGAATCAATAGAAATACTCACCCAGAGGTAAGAGTTTACATCATATGGGTACCTGGCCACTCGGGAGTAGTCGACAACGAAAGAGCGAATGTAATAATTTAAAGGGAAGTTAGCTCGAATTAAAAATATGGACGAGAGAAACCCATAAGGCCACTTGGAATATTGAAATGGTGGTTAGAACCACAAAGATCCTATGGACTGACCCTAACGAGACAAGGATGAGAAGCCTCCCCAAAATAAGCAAGTCTGAGGTTAGTATGGTGGTACTTATTCTCAGGATTACGGGCTCAGCTATACAAAATTGGTCTTGCGGATTTAGGCGAATGTAGAGAGTACTTTTTTTGTCATTGTTAAGAGAAAGGGAACTGATATTTTTGCATTTCGAATTCCCTTTCTTGTCGGGGAATGTTCAGGGTTTATTATGTTCATACCAGACTTTTATCACAGTCTCTTCTCTCTGAGTAAAAACTTGTCTTTCGGTCTACCGATTACTTCTCTAGGCGTCATGACCGAATGAACAGATACCATCCCAAGTGTTTCATTGGCATTTCGGAAGTGAAACAACAAAGCTGCAATGGTCAGAGTTTAGATAGTTAAAGTACTCGAGTACTTGTACAAGAACCGGCGGAAACCTATACGAGTAACCTCATATAACTAATTACTAATAGTTACTATTGTAATCTGTCAATAATCTCTAAAACAGTTACTCGTGTCTCAAGAAATCGTAACAGATAAACAAAATGAACTTGAACAATATGTATGTTTGAATGACTATTTAACAGCTTTACTAATAAAATTTATAATTGTATAATATTTTATTTTTCAATTAATACCAGTATTTATTTTAACAACTGTTTGTAATTTGTTTTTCGTAGTTGTTACTGTTGTTGTTAGTACGAGGAGATATTATTTATTACAAGTAGTTACCAAGTAGATCAAATTTTACATGAAAACAGAAAAAAAAAAGTTACAGCTGATTCATCTACGAGTTGGAAAATAAAATTTATTAGTTGCAAGTAGTAAAAACTTTATAAATGTAGGGAGGCAGGCAGGCAGGCAGGGAGTTAGGTAGGGACTGACAGATGTATAGAAAGAGGGGTCTAGCTGACAAACTTACTGACTGACTAACTGAGTGAGTAAGTGACTGACTACTTACACTTTAACACTGTTATTGTCGTTGTTGTTGTTGTTGTTGTTGTCATACACTTTTAATGTTGTTTGTTGTAACGTTTAGTTTAAGTTTGATATTCCTGTGTTGTTTATTTGGCTTTTGTTGTTTTTGTTTTTGTATGCAAGTATCTATACGGTGTTTGTAAGTATGTAAGTAGTAAGGCGAGTATTACTCTCATACTTGTCGTACGTATCTTTAGGGTTGTTTACAATTTATTCATGGTACGAGTTAAAATATTAAAATAACAACAAAAGTACGTTCGTAACTTTTGTGTGTGTGTATGTTCATGAATGTGTAGTAAGTTGGCTGTGGTATGATAAATTCTGTATACAACTTTAGTGGTTAACATTTTTACTTCTACAATCCGAACAAATGAATACGTATGTACGTATGATTGTGTGTACGTTTATATTAGGGATGCCAATCGGGACTGGTTTTTAGAAATCCCGGGATTCGGGATTTTTAAATAAATCCCGGAATCCCGATAACGGGATCCCGGGATTTTCGGGATTTCTAAATCCCGAAAAATATAAAAAAAAATTCAAAAAATCTTAATAATTTACCGACAAAAATAAAACGTTTTATTTCATATTGCAATATGAATACTCTTAGTAGGTGTTTACTTTCCAATAAGCATTTTGTGAAAAGAAAAACAAATGAATTCAAAGTACATACTTAGAATAAAAATCTTTCCATCCCAGGCACTGAATAGTAGAATAAAAGCCTAAAATAATACCCATGATATCCAAATTTACAATGGTTTCCAAATAATATTTAAATAGTATGTGTAATGGAGATCCATACGATGCTACATAGAGCACCTGTAATGCACCTATATCTCCTCCACCTTATATTCCGTGTTCACTAGCCAAGAGAATTATCTTCTCGCCATCTTATTGACAGGTTGACTTCCATTATAGATATTCGATAGTATCAATGCCTATTTATTGCCCTTTTTATACCCTTAGTAGGGATGGTATATTGGGTTTCTCCGGAGTAGTGCTTTTGTTTTATACTGTCCTAAAATACGCTGATGAAATTTGAAATGATCGGGATTTTGATCCGAGCCCCCATACAAAACACAGCTTTAAAAAATAATTAGTGTCCACAATTCGCTTAAAAAGAGAACTGTCGCAATGAAATTCAGCATAAAACATTTTATGTAACCGTAAATTCGTCCTCCAAATTTTATGAGGATCGACTCATATGATGGCGTCCTTCCCCCAAGCATATTTCAGAAAAATAGTTTTTTAACAATAAAGTGCTAGAATATATCGGAGGCGAGGTATACATTTATTATGAAAACTAAATTACATTTTACTCTCATAACTGGTGTATGGGGTTATATGGTCGGCCTCGCCCGCCTATAATTTCGTACTTGTTATTTTTATATATCCGATAGTATCTATGCCTATTTAGTATAGCAATGAAATTTGATATTAGTAAATCCCTGACGAGCCAAAACCTCTCTACCAAATTTTATGTGGGTCGGTTCATAATTGACCCTACCCCCATATAAGGTCCCGTTAAAAAAATCACTTTAACGCTTATTACTGGCTTAAAAATAGCGATGAAATTCGATACACATATGTTTCATGCGAGTCAAAATCTCTCTACCAAGTTTTATGTGGTTCGGTCCATAATTGACCCTACCCCTACATAAGGTCCCATCCAGATAAATACTTTAACGCTCATTACTGGCTTACAAGTACGAGTGTAGAGACGAAATTTGAGATAAGTAAGTTTCTTACTCGCCAAAAGCTAAGAAACTTTTATAGGAACGTAAATCTTCCTACCGGAAAGTGTATGAACCAAAATTGGTCTAAAAAAATTATGAAAAATTTTATAAAAACGGTCAATGATTCACCCTACCTCTCATATAAAGTCCTATCAGTAAATTTGATGAGTAATATCACCCTGATGTTTATAGAAAAGCATTCCTTTTACGGCATACGGTTTGATGGTGGGTATATTAGATTCGGCATAGCCGAATATAGCACTCTTACTTTTTTTTTTTTTTTTTTGATATTTCAGCTTGTAAGTTAGTAGAGTCATCTTAAGTCCAAAAACTTTTAAAATTCTCTTATTTAGTACTTCATAATGTATAAAATAGCGGAAAAATACTTAAAAATTCGGGATTTTAAAATCCCGAAATTTCCCGGGATTTCATTTTTTAAAATCCCGGTTTTCGGTACTTTCGAATCCCGAAAATCCCGGGATTTTCGGGAATCGGGAATTCCCGTTTGGCATCCCTAGTTTATATGTATGTTTACGTATGAATTTGCTTGCATTTATAATTTGACGTAGTTTTTTTTTTCTCAGTGAGGTTTTTTATTATTATTTTTTGTTTTGTATGTCTGTTTCTGTGTAAAAAAATATTGAAATATTTTATTGTTTATATTCACTCATAAAGTTAGAAGAAATTTCTCCAAATTTCGCTTTTTTTAATATACCAGAACAGTTACAGCACATTTTATTGCGTGGCTTCATTTTCTACATTTATTTTTATTCAGCTTTATTAACATTATAAAGTTTTTTCTTTCTACCAAATTAAATATAAAAAGCATTTATGAAAAAATTTAATTGAAAATGTTTCCTATTAATTTAATATGATAAAAGTTGTTGTTTGAATAAAATAAAAATATTAATTTAATTGGGTATGTAAATAGGGTTGATATTTTCGAATTTCGTAAAAAATACTTTAAAACTTTAGAATCTCTGATCACGATTAAATTTTGTATTGACATAGCCATGGAATTTTCGAGTTTTAGGTTTAAAAATGCAGGGGCATTGCTATGTAGCGACCTTATATAACCCCAAATGGCCCCAAATTTAATACATTTTGTATCTAAATTTATACTTTAGGCTAAAATTTCTATAGAATACTTAAAAGTGATTAGTAAGCTGCGCGCTTAAAAAATTATTCGAAAATGACACTGATATATAATTATTATTTGGAAAAAAAAAAAAACAATAACAATAACAAACTGTATAGCAATCATAATATGATCATCCTGGTGTTTAAAATATGATGGGTTTCAAAATAATTTTGTAATCATATTTCAAGCAGCTGGAAGATCTAAAATTATTTTTTATGTAATTGTTTTTGTGTGCACTTAAAAATGTCTCAAAAATTATTCGTAACTACTAATCAAAAATGAGTCGAAACTGAGAAGAAAAGTGACTTATAAAAGAGTCTTTTAGAAGAGAAAAACAATAATAAAATGTACAGCAAGCATAACTAGCTCTTTGAAATATATAATATTTCGCGCACTCGAAAGATCAAAAATTACTCAGAAAAGGCTCAAAAATTACTAAAATATGATTCGAAAATTACTCTAAAATGAGCAGTAATTCGACTTATTAATGGCTCAAAAGAGAGTAAAAAATGGGTCCATAAAAGACTGTTTTAGAAGAGTCGCGTTTAGGGTATAATTTTCTCCCAACGAAAGTATCATTTATGATCAGAAAATGAGTGCATATATGATCATTTTAATCGTACAAAAGAGTCATAAATGACACGAATGTGATAAAAAATATTTAAAAAATGGTAGCTGGGATGTATTCTTTTAACAAATGTCGGAAAAATGTGTAGCCAGTAGGCAAAATTATGAAAAATTCCAAATTGGTTTT